ATATATATATATATATATATATATATATATATTTCTTAGAGCAATCAAGTCTTGCTTTACAAATTAAGTGAAATTGAAATCCTCGAAAGAGAAGAACAAACGCACCTCAGCCACGGTTAGAAATGAGTCCACTTTGTCCATAACTTCAGGAAAATTGCTGTAAAGGTCCAGAGCTATCCGACACTGAGATCGTTTCATCGAAAAATAACGTTCTGAAACCAAACAGGATGGGGGAAGGACATTTTTGAATTGATAAACGGTAAACGAAGGATCAGAATAAACGCTAGACGTTTTGGTCCAAGAAAAACAGAAGCCTGGACACGGCTGTGTTGGTACCAGGTGCTTTTGATGTGATCAGTTTGAGACCGTGCACAAATAACGGTCACGCCAGAGGAATTTTCAATAAATCAACGTAAAAGTGGCCTAGAAGTGTTCAGGAGTGTTCTGCACCTGAGCACTGGTTCAAGAAAAACGTCCGTAAAAGGCTGAACAAAACTTCCGCAGCGAATTCCCAATTGTCCCGTGCGAGTTGCGTACGCTTGTTGGATACATGAAGATATGTGATAACGCGTTTATCTGGTCCTACATTTAAACTGACTGACATAAAAAATATGCATTCCAAAGGTACTCTGAAGTGTCGCGCCTTCCGCATCCTGCTAAAGAAAAAACTTTTCAGGTCTTTTCATCCGCGCATTCTTGCACAATAGGCTTAGAACGTGAAATCTTAACTGCGAAAAACGTTTTATGTACATGATGCAAGGTGCCTGCAGAGTGTTTGAACTTCGGCTGCATAATGTTAACCACGTAGAGGTGCTTAACACACTTAAAAGACAAAAATGATCAAATAACTAGCGTACAGTAGCCTACGCCTATAATTGAAAGGGGCCGACAAAAGGTTTTGGGCGCACAGATACGACCTGATAGACAGTTGAACGAAGTAAATTAGATCAGACTAGATATTACCAGCTTATAAAGTGACTTGCCTATGAGATTCATCATGCCTTCATTGTAAGAGGCAAAGAGACGAATCAAGTCTTTGTACAAGAGCAGAAAGGCCGCGTTTATAATCTGATTGTTTAAGTCCTTTTCGGTTGCCTAGAACAAAAGGAATGATAAATGAAAATGACAGAGTGAGTTCGCTGTAAAGACATGAAAAACTACTTCTTTGGCAATGCACAGAAAGGTAGAGGGACGTACCTCAAATTCAAATAGGACGTTTAAGAGGTTTCGCAAAGCCGGTAGAGCTTTCAAGAGCTGAAAAGATAAATCGCCCTGTTTATGTGCGAAAGCAATAGAAGATGTGGTGTCAGTACAACATACACCAGAGCAAACTTGTTCGTGAAAAGCAGTTAGCAGAAATCGACGACTGAGTTCTAGACATGGGAGGCAATAAAAAGATCCAAATTCTTTTATTTCTTTATACCATCGCCCGACGAAGTACAATGACACAACAAGGTAGACAGTACAACAGACAAATGTCACAGATGGAATACCTTATCCGTCGGCATTGTTCTCATAACTCCGTCATCCTTACTAATAAAACAAGCAGGATGTAACATAAGTCCCAAAGTTAAGATCAGGAAGCTTCACAGTCTAAACCGGCTCTACTTAGAACAATCAATTAATTTTGGGAAATAAGCTGCGACAATTTGAACGACCAACTTAATCGAGCTTCGGAAAAAATGAGAAAAAATATCGGAAAATGATTCCAGGAAAACGTAAACAAATCGAATATATGGAACGAATATTTATTCTCGAAGTTGTCGGTCGACGCTCTCTCGATAGTGAACCAGAAACGAAACTACCGGAAGTTCGCAATGGCTAATTTGGGGTTAGATATCCTGCAAAGTTAAGAAACATACCAAGGTGATTTCCATAATACTCAATCTCTTTCCCTTCATTAGGCGTTTCGAGCGTTCGGTATTATCAAGTTGTGGCTCTTTAATGAGCTGCATCGAAGTTTCGCAAAATAAAAAAGTGACTAGTTACAAAACGTAGCCAGGTTATTATGATTCCGCGTAAACCTTTAAATAGTGCATTATATGGTCGTGACACCTTTTAGACACTGGGTCACTGGTGCATAGGCAAGGGAAGTGGAGGTCCATTTTGCCCAGATAAGGAGAATGACCTCCTTACAAAAAACTATGCGTATATAAATATCACGACACGCTGCCAGCCGTGACTGGTAAGTTTGCTGACTGATATAATAAGTCTGATATTACTAGAAATTATGATAAGGTTCCGATGGCTCTTAAATATGGCTGCTCCTAGTGGCCCTCGTATTCATGTGAAGTTGAGACCTGTTATTAAAGCCCTGTATGTACGGGATTTAGCGGCCAGAATATAAGTGGCACGAGAAAATGGACCAATGAGTTTTGTCAGGCATTGTACACAAGCGTACATCCGGCCGTTTGGGCTTAACTTACTATCGTAACTTTGGAGGTGTGGAAGGGAAGTCGTTTCGAAAGTCTCATTTAACATAAACAATCTACGCGTAGGTCGACGGCCGCTGCGATGCTGAGACGGTGGGGTAACTTGCTATTTTTGGACGATCTTACTACTTTTACTGATTTATAATTACTAGATATATCCTAGTTGCCCTACTAAAACCTGGTATGGCACTGTTTTTTTTTCAATTCATCAGGGAAATATAGGTAAATACCTTGAAATTCCTCTTTGTACATAGCTATGACGCAGAACATGTGGCGTTGCCAATAATGGAACTGCGGTAGTGCCAATAATGGAACTGCGGTATATATATAGATATCAACAAACAGTGCGACGAAACGTCACTTGTAGAGCAGAATTTTCCGTCTCGAAATAATAATAATGATAATGATAATAATGGAAGCCATGAATAAGAGTATAAAACTGATGAGAACCACAGTTATGGTCTGGAATATTAGACCACACTTACCCGCGTTTAACTTTGCAGAAGTCAAAAGCCATGGCTTGATAAGTCGTAGTTTTCTCAGCGAGGAACTTTGAATATTTTCGGATGAACAAGGACATTTCATATGCTATAGAAGAGTCAATTCGGTCCGAAAACCTACATTGCGAGCTGGATTTGTCATTGAAATGTGGAAGGCTGAGTTGACAGTTATTGGAAGCCATGTATTGAGAAATTTTCTGAATAAAATCAAAATTCAACTCTTTAAATTTACTTCATTTCCGTAGTTCATTAGGTGGTGAGACGTAATGAGAGCTTTGAACACGATCACCCATGATTTCTCATGAGTGCGCTCCACAAGAAAACCGACAAGCAGTGGGATAGAAACGCTTGGTTCGTTACTGTACCTTATAAGACCTAGATTCGTAAAATAAAGATCAAAAAATGAGTTACGATCCAAGTGTTTCTTTTTGGGTGGAATTAATTCGACAGTGGAGGCCTTCGCAACGACTTTGCCGAGGGAAGAACCGGCTAAAGAGTACTTCGCCTGAGTGACTCTGTCCATTAAACTTTGGCCTGTCCCACTGCCAGCTAGCTGCTTTGCCATTTTACCAGCCATGTTCGCGATAGCACCTAATGGATCAAGAAGACAACTCCGCTTTTTGAAACTGTGCGGGCAATAAATAACGATCAAAACAAAAAGAGTGGTTCGGTAATTATACCCGTTGTTTATTGGTTACCTATACTAACTCATGATTGGTAAATCTTTTGGATGAACCAGAAAGTTTCCATGTGCATCAATAACGTCGGCTAATTGTATGTCATACAATTGAGTGAGTTTGTGGTCACAAGATGTAACTGAGCGTTTCGGAAAGGTGTGCGGGATAGGTTTTTCATTTTACGAAATGGGCTTACAGTTCGAATCCAAAGTTTTGCATAGATTTTCCACTGCCAACACAAAGACTCAAAGAAATCGGAGATTAGTATGTTTTTAGGCCAAACCCCCAAAATATATTATTAACTAACAGTTGAATTCACTTGAGTTTTATGCGTTTGGCAAATATGGCACCATTGAAACTATAATATTCAACGTGGAGGTTTATCAGGTTTCAGTATATTTGTAACCTCAGGTTGATTCAATTAGAACTGCTGATAATAGCATTTCCTAAATTTCTTCCACCGTTTACAAAGGAATACCATTGTTTCTTGTCTTCGTGAGAGAAAATCGAAAACATTGGTTCAGCACAATGTACCTAGCATCCAATTCCATTGTAAATATGCATCTAGGCTGACAATGATGTTATTTCTACATAGTTAAATGCGTTTTAGGGCAATAATAAAATCTTTGAATATGCGAGGATATCTTTGTTCACGCGTAGTTATCTCAAGTACCAAAGATTTTGGAAAAGCAGTCTTCATCAAAAACGGCAAATGCCCGCTTGATGGCGTACAACATTGAAGTTTAAGCTTTAGCCGCCTCACAACATTGTATAAAAGCCTTTAGTTTGTCTGTCATCCCAATGCCAAGATTCTTCTCAATTTCTGCTCCTCGGAGTGGCTTTCCGGGCCATATGCCTGACCATTCGTTTAATTAACCAAGGTTTTACTGGAAGTCAGCTTCATCGGCAGCACTCTTGATGCCTTTCCATATATTATATCATCTGCGAACACGGCACACGCACAGTCCAATTCCTGTACACAATCATTAACGAACAAGCGAATGAGAGTCGGTCCGAGCACCGAACCATGTGGGACTCCACTCTCTATGACTGAGCGTCTTGATAGATATGATTTTACACAGACAACTTGGGAACTACCAATGAGAAAAGTGATTTACGTAAGAAGTTTGCCTCTGATGCCCATCACTTTCAACTTTTCGATCAGGCGTTGGTTTAAAACACTGTCGAAGACATTGCAGAAATCAATGAAGGCGGCTTTTGCATCGAGAGCTCTCGTCCAGCTTTGCATCGTGTAAAGCAGGCTTTTCACAGACGACCTACGCCTACGGAAGCCATATCGTGCATTGGATAAGAGATTGTGTGTTTTTTAAATAAGTCATCAATTCCTTTTTCATGGTCTTCGCCATTACCTTGCATTATGTAGAGGTGAGGCTGACGGGTCTGTAGTTGTTCGCAGGTGCAAGACTAGCACTTTTTAAGCAGTGTGATGTGGATTGTTTCCCGATAGATCTGAAACCTGCCAGTATTGAAAGATTGCTGGCACATTATAAAACAACAGTTTGGCCAGGTGTCTAGCAAGTTCAAGGAGAAACTTTGCTTAAATCTCATTTACACCGGGAGCTTTTCATGATTTCAACCTTTTTTATTTCTTCAAAAATCACTTTTCTATACTGAATAATTGGTGTTCTCATGGTCTCGTCATTAGGTGGAATTAAGGCAATTTATCTGCTGAAAACCGACCGAAATCAAAATTCATGGCCTTCTTTGAACTCTCCGATACTTCGACACCTTCACAATTCTTCATAACACGAAGCGGGTTCCTGTTACTTGTGCTCGTTCGTAAGTAGCTGTAGAGCGACTTGGGATTTTTGACTGCTGGATGCAGAACATCTTTCTCAAAATCCCATAGTCTCGTGAAATCTAAGCGTTTACCTTGTTCCACTGGATTTTATATTTTTTGAAGGCCTTATCATTTTTCGTTCTGCAAAATGTCTTCCAAGGCATTCTTTTCATATTCATCTCTCCTTTTTAGATCTCTGGTCAGCCACTGACGTCGGTTAGATATCCTGAGCACTAACAGCGGACACTGACTTTGCATTAGATGCAACAACCGCTCCTTAAGTAGATTCCACTCATCAGTGACATCCCCGAGTAGAGAATACGCAATCTATTTGCGATGCCTCAGCTCTCATTTGGCAGAAGTCT